CCTCCTCCATGCCGTACTGCTCCAGCAGGTCGGTAATGTGCCGCCTCTGGCCCTGTCCCGGTCAATTGTCATGCCGAGAAAGAACTTGGGCTCACCCATGTCTCTGGCCTCAAAGGCAGTCATGAGACCCTCAATGATGCTCTTGATGATGGCCTTGGTGCGCGCAGCCAGCAACAGGTCGTCCACGTAGACCAGTATGAAGGAGAGGGTGTCACCCGTCTCAATGCGCCACCAGAGTGCCGGGTCTGCCATGGAAGCAGTGTAGCCCATCTCAGTCAGGCGCTCACCCAGAGTTGTGTTCCAGGTTCGCGGGGACTGTTTGAGCCCGTAGATGGACCGAAGCAGGTGGCAGCCGAATGTAGCTCCACCGAACTCGTAGCCCGGAGGCTGCTCGATCCAAATGTCCTTGTCGATCTTCCCGTAGAGAAACGCGGTCTTGATGTCCAGTTGTCCCAGCTCCAGGTCCAGCTCCGCTGCCGTCGCCAGCAGCACGCGCAGGGTGGTGTAGCGGCTGGTTGGCGCAAAGGTCTCCTCGTAGTCGATGCCCTCGCGCTGGTGGAAGCCCTTAGCCACCAGCCTTGCCTTGAAGCGCTCGATGTTGCCGTCGGCGTCGCGCTTGGCCTTGAGTACCCACTTGACTGGAATGGGCTTGACACCTGGAGGGAGCTCCTCGACCTCCCAGGTGCAGTTCTTGAGCAGGCTGCGGTACTCGTCGTCGATTGCCGTCAGCCACTGCTGTGACTCTGCTGATTGCAGCGCCTCCTCGACTGTGGGGTCTGTGGCCGTGCCTGTGAGCGCGGCCGCAGTGATGAAGGCGCCGAGGGTGCTGTCGTCGTCCCTGTCGCCAGCCACAAACAGCGCGGTTGCCTCCGCGCGCATGCCGGGCTCGTAGTCGCGCATCCATCCAGGGGCCCGGCGCTGGCGGCCAGCCCTTGAAGGCGCCGGCGGCGGCGGCCCAGGAGAGGGCAGCCCGACGCCGCCGATAGCGCGAACCGGCGAGAACGGCGGCCGCTGCCGCAGAAGGCCCCGCCCGGGCGCCGGTGGCGGCGCCCCAGGCTCCTCAGGAAAAGGGGGCGAGAGCGGCATGAAGCCGGGGAGCTTGCCTGGCTGGCCCTTGATTAATAGGGGCGATGCTTCCCCCCCCGCTCGGCGTCGGAGTCGTCGCCAGAGTCAGAGGAGGAGTCCGCAGGCTTGGCGCTGGCGGCCGGTTTGGCGGGCGCCAGCTTGTCCGAGCCGGTAAACGTGGAGTAGCCGGGCAGGAACGTCACGTCCCGGCTTTCCAGAATCTTGTAGTCCTCATCACGGAGCAGAACGCGGTAGCCCTTGCCGCCGTGAGGGTAGCCGATGAAGGTGCCGGCGCGCGCCCTGGGCAGCGCCTTGCTGCCGGCGCCGCGGGTCTCCTTGGGCACGTGCACGTAGCACGCAGCTCCAAACGGCCTAAGGTAGGAGACGTTGGGCTTGTCGCCTGTGAAGAGCTCCCATGGAGTGACTGTGGCGTCCTGCTAGGGGAGGCAGTTGTAGGCCCGCACGGCGCAGCTGAGCGCCTCGTCCCAGTACTGCTCCTTATCTGGCAGGTCAGAGTCGGCCAGCATGGCGCGCACTGAGTCCATCAGTGGGCGGTTGAGCCGCTCGGCCTTGCCGTTCTGCTGGGGGGTGTAGGCCATAGAGGAGTGGTGAATGATGCCCCTCTCTTTGAGCCATGAGTCCAGCTCCCCAGAGAAGTATTCACCGCCGTTGTCCGTCTGCAGGAACTCAACGGCGCCGCCGCCCACACGCTCCAGCAGGGGAATGGCGTCCTTGGTGATGCCGCCGGCCTCAGCCTTCTTCTTGAGCAGGCGCACAGTGGCCATGTTGGAGTAGTCGTCCAGGTAGGAGATCCAGTAGACATAGCCATCTTTGGATTCTGGCATTGGCCCTTGAATGTCAGAATGAATGATCTGGGCCGGCCTTGCAGCCTCAGTCTCTGACGACTTGAAGGGCAGGCGAGTGTGCTTGCCTTCAATGCAGCTGATGCACCTGGACTCTGCCGCCGCTGCTTTCAGGTCGGCGCTACTGATCGGAACGCCGTCCAGCATGCCGCCGTCGATGGCCCTTGCAAGGGCCACGTTGCTGCCCATATGCGCAAAGCAGCGGTGCACCATATCCGCAGTCACCTTTAAGGCGCGCCCAGCACCAGCCACCAGGGCGCCGACGTCGGCACCGGCGTCGGCGGCCAGCTGGACGTCGTATTCGTTGTCGCGCCGCAGGGGCCTCGCACCCAGCACCCACAGGTCTGAGGGGTGGTGCTGGCAGGAGAACACGGCGGTGTCGCCTTTGAAGAAGTCCCAGGGGCCGCCCAGCGTCGCTGAGGTCTGGTTGGTGTAGCCGGCCTTGTAGGTGCGCGTGTAGGAGACCAGGTTGGTAGGGCAGTGCGGCCAGTAGGCCACGTCGGTCAGGGTGACCGTGAAGCCCTGGTCTGTGAGGATGGTGACATCACCCATGATCTCGGGTGTGCCCTCGCCGCCGCCAAACTTGAGCACCAGGCTCTTGGGGGCCGGCCGAAGGTTGTGCATGACGCTGTAGTCGTTGAACACATGAAACGAACTCGCGCCCGTGTCCATCACCATCAGGTCCTTGATGGGCTCGCTGCGGGGCTCGGCCGCCGCCAGGGCGCAGGCCAGCTTGGAGAGCTGCGGCGCCGGCGGTCCAGCGTCCGAGTAGACCCAGTCGTCGGAGTCGTCGGGGTCTTCGCTGTCCGAGTCTGAGGCCAGCCCGGGCATGGAGTCGTCGCTGTCTGACATGCCGAAGTGCTTCTCATAGATTGAGTGAGCAATGAGGGCCCCCATTGAGCTGTAGGGGCCGCTCCTGCTGTTGTTGCCGCCAGGGCGGCGGTTGCCGCCGGGGCCGCCGGGACCGCGGCCGGGGCGGGCGCCGCCACGGTTGAAGCCGCCGTTGTTGTTGGCGGGAGGGCGCAGATTGCCGAAGGAATCGATCTTGCCCTCTGCCAGCATCTTCCTCTTGAGGCGGCAGTCTGACTCTTTGTGGCCCTTCTTGCCGCAGAGTGAGAAGTTGCACCTGCCGGTGAAGAGGGGCTCGTTGCGGCCGATGCCGCTGCTGCTGCTGCTGGAGAGGCGCGTGATGCCGCTGTTGGAGGCCCGGTGCAGGCCGCTGCCGCTTGCGCCGCCGAAGAGGGCGGAGGAGCTTCCGCTGCGGCTCTCCCTTGGGTTTTGGGAGTCCAGCATCATTGCCGCGGTGTTGAGCTCTGCGGCGACCTCAGCCAGTGATGGCGGGTTCTTGATGGCCGACATGCGCATCAGCATGTACTTCTGGGGCAGGCCTGT